TGCGGGAGGCAAGGCCATTAAAACTACAAGTTTACCTTAAAAGTGTAAGAAGCTGCTAAGTTATTAATGCTTACACTATAGACACCGATACTTTTATTTATTGAAAAATGTACATTTTAAAAATTATTTAATGTCTTTGTGAAGGCAAATAAGATTATAAATTATTCATAATATAAATATATACTGAATATTTTAATGCAATACTTTAAAGATATAGTTAAGAGAAGGCTAAAGAAAAAAATTCTCTTACCCTGAAATGGGATTGTAATATACTTGGTTGTAAACTGAAATAAGATTAAAAAAAATATAAATTAGTTTGCTTTTTACAAATTGATTAAAGCAAAGTAAGAATTTTTAATTATCTGCACATCTTCATTTGCTTATAGTCAAATAAATTGAAAATAATATCATAGAATCGTTTAGGTTGGAAAAGACCCTTAAAATCATCGAGTCCAACCGTTAACCTAACACTGTCAAGTCCAATATGCCTAATTTGAGACTTAATATTGCCTATTTCACCTAAAACAACACTCCTAAATACATATTGCACAATCTAAATGACAGCAAACTGACTTCCAGAGGAGCTCAGCACTGAGAAATAAGCAGAAAGTTACGGAGCTGCCTAAAGGCTCCTTAAGAAGGAAAAAAAACGATGAACACTTGGGACAAAAGGAGCTTATTTGTAAGCATCCCATGATAAAGACTGTCAGCTACACTATCTGAATTAAGGGCACTATATAAATGGTCCAACACTGGAGTGTTACTTTGCTATCTACATTAACCTTTGAATTAAAGGCCTTTAAAGTTTCCACTTACACTGCTGCTATGTTAAAAAGACTCGGCTAAATAAAGAGTGCTTTATTGTCACTTTGACAGAAGGTTGTCATATACATTGAGTGAAGAGCTTTTTCTCTTATGTTACCACAGTAAGCATAAAGTTGTTTTTTCCAAGGAAAAATTTCGCTTTCTACCTAAAAGCATTAATTTTAAAAATATTTCAACTCATCCCTCAAATGATTTTGGCATATTAATTTAGGAAATTTCCATGAAATGTTTTCACTACTGCATGAGAACTGCTGCACAAAACTGCTGTTTTGTGAAAAGCTGAAATTATTATTACAATCCAAGATTTCAAAGTGTCTTACTGTACGCAAAAGAAGATATACATGTTCAAACATTTATTTTTCAATTGCAATATATAGAATAAGCCTGGTCAAAGACCTGTTCAAAATCCTGCAGCTGGTACTCCATTTGAAGTACACCACTTATATTTCTACACACTATGAGTAGCATGTTGCCTATGCGTTAATGCTTTTAGTGTTGTTTTTATGCTCTTTAAAGCTATAAAACAAGCAATTTTCTGTTTAAAAGAGAAGATTAGCACGTAGTATATATCTGAACTCTGATCACTATGGATTACTTTAATATTTGTATTATTTCTGAGAAAAGTAATTGGTGTTTATTTCAAGTGACATTAACTCTAACACTGCCATTATTTTCTGTTAGAATTCATGAAAAGCTTCCTCAGCATGGTTTCTGTTCCAGTACAGCATTTATACAGAACCTTTACCTCTGAAAACTGGGGCCACAGAAAATCCCAGCTAGCTTTTCTACTGGCAGCAATCCAAACATACGAGGTAATGGACTACACACTCCATCGTTTAGCCAAAGCAATTTTATGCAACAAGAATCAAAACTCAGTGCTTCCACACTAAGTACCATTAGCTTTGCTTAACCAGAATTCTAATTTTTAAATATTCTCAAAATATCACCATAATAGAACAACTTACCCTAGCAGGACCTGTTGATAACCATTTAAATTTCCCAACATATAGACTATTAAATTCAACATCCAATGCTGGGTTCATCTGTTTTCTAGGAGTGCTTCCAGAAGGTAAGTTGATAGGACATTTATTTGCAACTGACTCTGCTAAAAACTGGAAAAAAAGTATATTTACTACAGGGATTTAAATGAGATACTTCCCTCCTGTAACCTTAGGAATTTTCTCTTTATGTTTGTAAGAATTTACATCCAAAGCCAACTTCTATATAAGAATTCCATATTAAAAAGCTGTAAATGTTATTACAATCACTACTGACAATGTCCTTAAGGGCCTAACAGTATCTTACTCCACTGCTAAAGTTCCCATTGCCAAGACATAACCTGTGCTCTTTACTAATCTAGAGCCAAGTAAAAACTCAAACAACAGAGCAACAAAAAATACCCCTCTTTTGATATCAAAGGTACAGAATCCAATTCAATGCTTATGATCAAAATGATGCATCTGTGAGAAGAGGCAGCAATGGCTCTTCTGACTTGTTTCAGGGTTACAGAGATAACTCAAATGCAGGTCAAAGCAAGCAGCACGAGGCTAATCAAATCCAAAATGGGGCAACAACCTTTATGGCTGGTTTTAGATTCAAATTCCACTGCTAGCCACACAGGAAAGGGAACTTTACCCATCTCTGTCTGCTGTCAACAAAGATCCTTGAACTTCTCCATGCACTGAATTACAACAGAGGACTGGATGACAAGAAGAAACTACTGACTTGAACTACGATAAATACAAAACATTGTGTGGAAAAAAAAATTTTCACAGATGTCTCTTCATCATGTTCACCTCTAGCTCAGATTACTATTTGATCCTTCCAGTTTTTTAATATTAAACTTTTCCAAATGGTTATTTTCAAAATATGAAATACATTGTATGTTGCAAAAACACTCAAGCTTCAGAGCCAGAGATCTTCTCTGAAGACTGTCCAGAATTCTATTTCTGTGAAATAAATTACTGCAACTACTGCGTGCAGCTGGGACTAATCATATCTGCTCTAATTTCACTTTTGTTCTAACATGCAAGAAAAAAGTAACATTGGAGAAATAAATTAAAGGGTTGGCATAACAATACATAGGCCAAAAACTGGACTACCTGCTCTGTGTGACTTTCCACCTTGTCTTCCAATTGCTTTGCTGAGAAAGAGAAGTCAGACTGTTGGTCTGTTTCTTTATTGTCAGTGACATTATCCTGCAGCAGCTCTGTGCATTTTGGTTCAGAAGATCCATCTTCATCATCACTGGAAAGGACAACTAAAGAGGAAAAAAAAATATACATATACTACAAGATGCAGACTTGAGAATATTTCACTCGTGGATTTCAGATGAGCAAAGAATTTTCTCTTGCAGTATGTAATATCAAAGTACATTGCCCAAACCAGTCAGGGTCTGTGTGCATAAAACTGTATGCAACAAGTACTGCTTTGTATCTTTATTAACACTTTTTACCCAAGACCCAATTATTTGACTATTAAAAGAAACAGGCCACAACATAGTTGCTTCAAAGAAGAGAGAGTATTTTTTCTTAGTTTAAGCATCATTAAAAAGTACAAGCTTGATTTTCCATAGCCACAAAATCAGCTGCAAAATAAGGATTGGAATTTGAGAATCCTGCTGCCTATCCTGTTTCTCAAGTACAAGACCCTCTACACTCCAGTAGAGGACACTGGCACTAGGCACTGTTCTCTAACCTGCACAATGCATTACAAACAACATGATCTCTGTCTTCAATCTTTTGTTCCATATGTTTCAACTAGTCAGTCATGCATGAGTTCTCCTAGTACCTAAGCGTACCAATAGTAATAGGCAGCAGCACAGATACAGTACATACTTGGGTCAACTGAAACACGTTGCCGATTGCCCCTGCAGATTCTGTTCCGCAGCTTGCTCAGGTACTGTGATGTGTCCATCTTTAATTTCCTGATGGTACTAACTCGTGGTGAAATCACGTCCTCACTGGTGGCAGAAAGCTGTTTCTCTGACAAATTTCTGCGAGGAGACACTGAACCAGGTTCCTCTGTGCAGCTGTGAGCAGGCCTTAAGTGGTTGTGGGTGGAAGTATCTTTAGAGTCTCTCTCTAATGGCTGTGGAATACAGTCCGGCACCAGAATTGTATTAGATCTGCGACTTTGTCTAACCTCACAGGATGTTCCGTGGCCAGGAGACTGAGTCGAACTCAATCTTTGCTCTTTCTAGAAAACAGGAATCAGAGCATATATGTTTATTTCTTGACATTTCTATGATGGTTCAGATCAGTGATCACTGAGACTTAGCTATGTGCTAGACAAAATAATTATAGCTTAATGCAGCTGCATTTAGAACTCAAGTAAGGGTAATTTCTCCCTCCTCGTATTCCAAAGGTTATTACATAAAGGTATCAGGGACAACCTTTTAAAAGTCTATGACCCCCATTCAAACTGAACAAGAAACCATTTCTGATTTTTTAGCAGGTCTCTCACTGTCTGACACTGAAAGACCAAGGGCCAGCAATGTTCATTACTTTGCAAATGTGTGGCTTGGTCAACTGGGTGAACAGGACTCAGCAACTACCTACTCCCATGGGGTTTTAATAATAAGTTTATGGAGATGCCTTTATTGTATTCAAATGCTTGAATATAAATCACAGCTTGTACTTGACTGACTGATTCCCTCAGTCTTTTTTTCTTTTTTCCTTCCAATTCTTAATGACAGCTAAGGATAAAACTTTAGGGAAGGGTACGACAGACTGAGAAGAAGGGAGAAAGACGACATGTGCAAGGTTTCAATAACCCCAGGTATACCTTTTAATTTTTGTATCAAAGTCCCTAATTAGTTTTATACTACCTGTGAAAGAAGCTTCACTTAAGTAGCTAGATGCCTTCTTTCCAAAAGTGTTTTACTCCATGCTCCTGTCTGAAGGAAGCACTGCCACCCATCTCTCACAACCTTTCTGCTACAACAAGCATATTTTGATGTTGTTGTGGACAGAAGTACACATACTCACTCTTCTTGATGCACCACTGAACTACTTTCTCTTAACAGGTATAACAGTATCCCTAGATATCCTACTTATTAGTATAATTCTTTTATTTTGAATGTTGCTACTGCTGCTACTGAAGTGTGTGTGCATGTGTGTACACAAACACACACATCAAAATTAAGTGCAACTTACAGACAGTAGAAGTGATTTTTCTGGAATGTGTGCATTACAATCATCAGAAATATGGCCACTAGATCTTCTTTTCCTTCTCTCAGAATCAAGAGAGCCCAATTCCTTCTGACTAAGAGTGGTGCTCGTGTTTCTGCTGCTCTTTTCCAGTTCATCATAGTTCCTGTTTTCTGTGTCAGGAAAAAAAGGTGATTTAATGGGTTATCCTTAAAAACCTTTGTATTTCTTCATATCTGTTATGTCTCAAATAAAATGCATGGAAGCAGATACCTTCCACAATAGTTCTTTCCTTTTTTAATTGTGCGCAGCTGCCAAAATACACTCCCTAAAATAATTAAGGAAAGATTATTATTGCACGATTAGTTAAGATAAGGGTATAACCAAATTCATAGCTCCCTTCCAAGTAAGAATTAGCACTCCATACTCCACAGTCTTTCTTTTATCTTCTACTAGATGCAATATTCTCCATTTCCTGTTCTAATCTGCAACCAGTATTAAAAAGATAGTTATGTTCTCCCTGGAGACTCAGCATAGAGCTCATCATTTTTCAGCAGTAAATACAAATACTGTGATATAGCATGAACATTTTAGCAGGGTTCACAAACCATTTGAGCATTCTTAATGTATTACTTTCTTGAGTATAAAAGACTTTTTACAAAATCATTATTATAATGGTGCAGTGAGGCTTCCCTCAGTTTCCTTTTTCTTCTACAGATCTGATTCACCATAGCTTTATTCCTATTTAAAAACAGCTATTTATTTTACCAAATCTGTAAAAAAACTGCATTTTGAGGAAACACATACACTGCATGCGCCTATTTTATTTTTGTGCTCTCCTCATAATACTAGACTAAAAAAAGGAAATTTCCCAACACTCTCCAAAATTCATATTTAAATGCCAGATTATGGCTCATTACAAACCTTTCTTCTGCAGCTCCCGTCTTCTAAAAGTGAAGGCATTATTTTTTTCTTGTTCCTTAGAAGCCTTGGTCAATTTACACAGATCATCATGTGTCTTCCTCAGGCAATGCTCAGACCTGTAAACAATATTAACTATGACTTATCTTTAATTTTGAAAGAATACTGAATAAAAATCCCAACAGAAACAAGAGTTGGTTAGACCACAAACTTCTGCCTCTCTCATAAGCATGTGGAACTTGGCAAATGAAACACAAAATAATTCCGTTCCCGTTATGGAAATACACAGATACTCTGACATTACTAATGAAACGGATGCTTCTAAAAGGCACAAAGAATGAAAATATGGCATGCTTGACATCAGGCACTGAAATATTACTTTGCTGCAAAGCATGACCGCAACAAGAACACGTAACAAAAAAAAAAAGAGAACAGTCAGTTGAATGTATCCTTGCCTTTGTCATGAATACAGTGGGAATAAGGCAATATGTAGTATATTTTTCATTTAGATTTAGAATTGCTAATAGAATCCACTGAGTAAGTTCCTGCAACAAGAAAACATTTGAAATAGAAATCCCTGCTCAAAAGGGCCTGAAACAGTAACTTTGAAGGAGATGGGGCTGACAGGACATGAATGAGGAAGAAACAGAAAAGAAACAGAAAAGGATTACGGTACGAGATATTAGGCAACCTATAGGTATTCAGCTGAGTTTGTAGTTTCATTTTAAAAGCAGGACATGCAATAATCAGTGGGTTTTTTATTTTATTAGCTTTTTTATAAATAGGAGAATATATTCAGGAGGTACTGATAGACTGAACAGTATGACATGCTCACATTTGAGGTCTGATCTTGTAAACATACTCTCAACTTCTCTGGAGGCTAGTTACAGCTGACAAAAGTCTACATAACTGTATTTTGGTTTCTAGTGTATGCATTAGGATAACAGTTATATGTTCATGTGGTATTTTCTCACATGAACTTAATTACATTCAGTACGCAAGGCTTCTCCTCCGAAAATTTATCAGGGTTACAAGATAGAAGAAACTAACCTTCACGACCTCTGCTTCATTTTCTGTGAGAGTTGGAATATAAAAAAGAAAATAAAGAAGATTTCATAGATAAAGCAATTTAATGCTGCTCTGGAAAATCTGTTCCATTCCTCCTTTTGTCACCTCACTTAATCTAAAGGGATTTTGTGTTCATTGTTTTATAATGTGCCTAACTTAGAATGTTGCAGTCTCCAATTTGCAAAGAGCTAAGCAATCATCACAATGACTGAAATCACTGACAGCTGAGCCTGGACCCATGAAGAACATCACCAACCACAGGAAAGAACATTCTTGACACCTCTAACTAGATAGCCAAAACTGTTGGACACTTTCTGAACAGATGTCTATTCTTCAGTGCTGTATATGTAGACTGGAGTATCGTTGCTCTTTGGGAATACTGTAAAGACAAATAAAGATTTCCAGAGTGCTCTGATACTACAGTGATGAACAATATACAAGCACCATGAAGAAATTACTGATTATCTTTCCATTCACAAAGAATCATGAATTGGACCATATACAGCAAAAGTGTTCAGTAAGCGCTATTATTCATTCTGTATATTGAACTAGAAAGAGTCTCCCATAGATCAGGCAGCTCTAGTTCGGGAATAACCTCACTACAGAAAACTTGATTTTGGAACCCACATCCCTCTCAACTTAAATATTTGTATGCATAACAGCTAAATAGATTTAACTGCCTTAAAAGACCATACAAAAACATTAAGTGTTTTTTAGCATTTCTTTTACACCAACATCACAATTCAGGCATTTCAACAATAGGAAACATTTCAATAGGAATGTTTCAGCTAACAGACTTCCCTAAACATATTTACCCTATACACAAATTCTGAACGTTATTTTCACTTCCAGTCTTCGCTGATAACTCAGTTTAAAATGCACCTCTTAACAGATATATGTATAAGCTAAGAAGCTATGGCAGTATATACTGAAGTGTTCTCAACAGCCATGAGAAACAAGTACGAAACACTCTTTAAAACCCTAAGTTTCTTCACATTTAAGACCTACCTCAAATTTGTTAGTTATACTGATAGGTCAGTGGTGACTTAAGCAAATGTATTTCACACTGGGTTGCAGTGAACAAGCAATGCAAAATCCACCAATTCTGTAATACCAAAAGCAAGAAAGGAAACGGGGAACTTGCAGCAAGTTTTAGCTGATAGAGAAAGATTAACTTATTACCACCCTGTTCTGATCACACACAATTCTTTGACTTAATCTGAAATTTCCATAGTACAAAACTGGCACAATTTTCACAAAAACAGAGCGTGCATTCTAGCTACTCTGATGATACAAAAGAATCTCTATATGGCCATGTGCATATATATGCATAACCATTATAAGGGGGGAGCTTTTATTCTCCTCTGAAAGAAGAGACCCCAAAAGAATCAGTGCCAAGTGTATCTTATGCACAGACCTTAGTTACATAGAGGCGACCAGGATCAAACCACGTCTGTGTTGAAATAATTCCTAAATTCTCCATTTCCCATACAATATCTATTACAACTTGCACTAACATGCTGGTCACTGGGGAGGGGTGGGAAATCCTCCTAATGTTGGTTCTTGCTAATAACAAGCCTTTTACTTAATACATTAGAAAAGCACATCACAGGAACAGAAAAGTAATCCTTCAAGCAATGAACCACTCCAAATCTAAAGCAAGTTGAGTATACCAACTACTAAAACCACTGACTAGTTCAAATCATTCTTGTGCTTAACATAAACAGCCGCCCTTCAGATATGAGCTTGAAAAAAATACGCAAGATGTTTCCTCAGATTTAGATTTAGTTACAAGAGTTCATGTTCTCCTCTCTATGAACCCACTACCTCCCATCATCCAAAACAATACCAAGTGGAAAAATCGGATACTAAAATCATAGATCTTAAAGATTTTGTAGTAAAACAAAAAAACCCCCAACAATCCAAACTCCTCACACTTTAGTCAGCCTAAGTTATGGAAAACTATTTATTAGCAACAAATGTCATACTTCTAAAATGAGACAGTCTAATAAACTGTTTTAAATCCCTCATTTAAATTGCAGCTTTGTCAGATTAATTTAAGCAGCAATGGGAATCCCAACAGAAAAAAAGAAAGGAATTCTTACTAATTTAGGTTCTCTAAGATGTTCATGTATCAGAATGAGGAATAGGACTTACTTTTCTCAAGAATTTTTAAGATTTCTTTAACCTGGGAACTGTGGATTATTCCTGCCCTCACAAATCATTCTTCTCTTTCTTCCTTTGTCTATTTTCTTCCCCCAAATTTCTTGCTATTTGTTCCTGTGGATATTTTGCTGTTAAGCAAAGAGGTGGCGATGAAAGACAAGAGGAAACAGCTTACTCTGAATTCAACTGCTATCTTAGACCAAAACAAACGTTATATAATTCTAATATCTGATTTCTGCTAGTTTTATACGTCAAGTGTTACTGTGGTGCTCAGTCAACCTACACACAGGAAGAAAAGAAGAAAAGTAGATATTAAGCAATGAGAGGACACACACACAGCCCTTAAACAATGGCACTCTGTTGGGATTGAGAACACTGGTGGATTAACGTGAAAAGAAATAACAATCACAGACAGGAATTTGGAGAAATTTTGCAAAAGAAGTTACTTGAAATCATGCTAGAACACATTAACAGCAACTGGAAAGCAAGATTTTGGTTCTGGACACAAAGCCAACTTAAATGTGTTTGAATTACATGGCCATCTTCACAAATCAAAACACAGATCTATTGTAAATGGAAATTCTTTCTATGAAAGAAAAGTAGCCAATTAACATCCGGTACAGCAAATCAGAATACACGCAATGTTAAAACAGCTCGTTGGAGCAGCATGTTAGTTTGCACTCAGAAAATTGACCTCCTGCTTCAAGACAAGAGTGTAACAAAAATTGTTTTAGAGAAATTTTTTTCCATTGTGAAGTTATGCCATTTCAGGAAGACTGGCAAAATCAGCAGTGAGTAACATACCTTTCAGATAGAAAAGAACTTTCATGAGGAGAACTTAATATCTGACATGTCTGTAGGCTGGCAACAGATGATGAGGGTAGTTGACCCGATTGTAATTTGTCAGCATCAGATAAATTTGCATCAATTATTACGTGGCTGTCTATGTATTTTCTTCCAATTTTCGTCCTCAGGACATTCGTCAAAATAACTTTGGGTTGCCTGCCATATATATAACAGTAAATCATAAATACTGCACTGAAATCTAGAGAAAGAAACTTCTTGTTAAATTCATGTATCTTAGAAGCTTGATAACCATCAAACATCATTACTTTCAGTCCCTCAGAGACAAAACAAAATCCCACTAAGGAACTTAAAATCCAAGGTAAGCAGATAAACACAAAAAAGCAACAAGAGACCAGGGTAAGAAACACTAGCCATATAATTTCACCTTAGGCAGATACAATTCACACTACATTGCCTCTAACACACCATCTAAGTATTGTTTAAAAACTGGTAAACGTTTATCTCTAAATAGCTTTCATGCAATATCTGTACACATTTCTCAGAACTATGGAGCAAACAATCTTGATTTTCCTGTGAGCAAGAAGCCTTCAGTAAAATAGACTGAATTTTCTCAAGCACTTAGTCAAGAGGTAGAAAAGTAGCACACACACAAGAAGGCAGCATTAGATTTTGTTCCCCTCCTCAACTTCCAGGTGGCATTCTACAGAATAGCAATAGCAAGGCTCAGAAAAACATCTGCAAGTGTTAGAAGAGACAAGCATCAAAAATAAGCTAAACAGAAATATGAAGATGCAACTGCCCACTTGAGCACAGAATGTCTAAGAGCAGCACAACTTATTTCATACAATGCCACCGCAGCCAGCTTGTTGCATAGCCCTTGATTTACCAACTTAGTTTCTCAAACTGGGATTTAAATTCTACCACTTCCATTGCAATTTATTTTGGATTAGGATGTAATGTCATAGCCTTTTTTGAATATGTTATGAACAACGTTGTCTTTTGGGTATCAACTGCATAACTCCCCTGTTGTCTGTATTCATCCATAAAGAACACTCCAGCACAGACTGCGTGATGTCTGGGGAACACTCAGATCTCCTCTTGCACTGAGATGTAAATTTGCTTTTCATCAGGAGACCACCTTACAGACAAGATGTTGCAGAGGCACACAGATGATAAGCAATGAGGATATGATTGAAGAAAAGTCTAATATAGAAGAACACTGTAGTCTGGATGTAACCTCCAATAAAGGAAGCCCCTAAATTGTTTCTCAGAGAGAAGACTCAGCAAAAAAAAGCATTCACTCTAGTCATACTTTTCTGTAGGTATCTGCAATTGACCACTGCTTGGAGGGGGAGGAAGATACTAGACTTGATATGCTTTTCTTCTGACCCTTTATGCCAGTTCTCATGAAAATATGAGTAGTCTGAAACAGTTAACAGTGAAAATACACCTTGATACCTCCTCTGAGAAAAGAGGGCAGTTAAATGCAAGTGTACGCTTCTTTTCACAAGAATTAAAAAAAACCCAAAAACATTTTGAGAGTCCAACAGCTGAATCAGAATTAATCGTCTTGTCAGTACAGGGCCATCTAGAAGCCATCTGATCAGACAACCCACTACAGCATGCCTGGCACCATCTCTCTCAATGATTAGCAAAAGGAACCCGGTACAAGGGAATTCAATCAAGTCAGATGACACGAGAAGGAGAATATAGCTCATGAACAAGACAGCTGTGGTACAACAAAGAATACTTTCTCATGAAAAAACAACTGCAAGGAAAATTATTTTGTTTAGTGACATGAGGCGAAGACAACATACCTTTTAGACAGAAAAAGGCTTTGGAGAGTAGGGTTTAAAATTTGCCATATCTTTAAGCTGGCAGCAGATGATGAGGGTGGTTGATCTGACTGCAGCTTGCCAGCATCAGAAAAATTAGCACCAGTTTTAGGTTGCGCCTGCGTGTATTTTCTTCCTATTTTCGTCCTCAGGACATTCGTCAAGATAACTTTGGGTTGCCTGCCACACATATAATAATACATTAATAATAGGGTGCTGAGAACTTCTTAAGTCACATGAATCCAACAAAGCTTTTCTATGAGTTTACCATCTCTGCATCATACCTTGTATCTTCAGTAGAATTAAGTTCACTTCCCTGACAATTTACAAAGCAGTTCTATTTACAAAGCAGTTCAATTTACAAAGCAGTTCTTGATCAGGACAGCCTTTCGAGGTTTCTTCCTCTGGCATCAATGACTAACACATCCATATGTGATTCTGAAGAAGTGAACTTTCAGTGCAGAAGTATGGAAATTTTGGTGCATCTTTTTATTGCAAAATGTTGGAAGTAGTCACTATGACCTTACAAACGATTCTGAAAGCATACTCTTGAGCATTTGCAGGGTATGAAAACAAGTACTCATATTGTGGCATCTTATTTTAGAACCATGAATATTATTGGTTCCCATATAATAAATTAGATTATGATCTTGCTGAAAAAAAAAAACAAAACCAAGAAGCTAGTATAATCTCTCAGTTTTGAAGCTCCAACTGATTCCTATTCAGTTTCACTAAAGAAATGACATAAAATTATGAATTACAAAGTTAGTAAAAACTCCCTATTGAAGTTCTTTAAACAAGTATCTATACTTTGCTGATTCTGCTAGACTGATACTGAAGTCTTCACATAAAGAATTAATTCTGAGCTTGGCCAGTAATTTGGACAGTTTCCTTATAAGCTTTATGTATCATAGATGATTTGTCCAGGATTGATTTTATTTTCAAACAGATGAGAACTGGACTTGCTTTCCCAGGACTGGTCCTAAGAGGACACTGAAGTTCAGACTCATTTGTTGGTTTGAAAAGATTAGAGGCAAGAATTGCTTTTTCTACTGCATGTCTTACATAACAAACCAAATTGTTTACACTGTAGAGCAAGAATCCTTCTTTTATAGCTACGGAAAACCTTTTACTACTTGCATAGCTGTTACATGCATGCTACAGTGACATTTCTTAAGCAAATGGCTGCTGTTCCTCCGTGGGTTGACAATGTGCAAGCAACTTTTAGGAAGTTATAGTTGTCCCACTGACATGCTGCATTCAGCAAAACAGCACGGTTACGTGGTACCATAGGTAAACAAATAGGTATGACATGAAAACTGCTGAAGAACAGATATGTTTGAACTTAAAAAGATTTGGAACTGCCATGTTAGTGAAACATGTTGAACTTGGGGAAGGTGTTTTACATAATCCTTATATTTTGCTCTTTCAGTAGTTGCTGCCTGTTGAGATTTTTTTTTTCCCCCTGGTTACTTACTATGTTAAAGAGACACATGACCCCTCATTGAACTTGAAAAGACAGTAAGGTTCCTATGCACAGCTTGGAGAACCTGCATTAAGCTATGAACGTTGGTCAATCTTATCAGATCTCTGCATCAACGAATGCCATGTGTATGCAGTGAGCTGCTTTCTCTTAGAACTCTGCTATGCATTTTCTAGACCAGTGGTGTCCAAACTTTTGTTGATCATGTACCCCTATCAGTAAAAGTATTTTGAGCACGTACCTTCAACATGTTTGTTTGATTATAATTTATATAGATGTACTAATGTATTAATGTACATTATAAAACACACAAATAGAAATTTAAAAAAGGATGCGATAAAGATGAAAAACATTTCTTTTATTTATTAACTGTACAAAAAATATTTCCTTCCTGCATCCCACTGGATTGTCTTGCACACACCACACCTTGGAGACCACTATCTAGACAATGGACAATAAACCTAAATAGTTCCCATTCAAAGCTAAGTAACTTAAGCTCAAGTGAAGGCAGCTTCCTCCACTCTCTTAGAAGTTTCCCAAAGAAAAACTAAGTGGTAAAGAGCTAAGGCTTTGTCTCAAAAAAACCCAAAAATATGCTGAGGATTTAAAAAAACAAAAACAAAACCAAAAAAACCCCAACCTAAGTTAAAGCACTCTGATGCCAAGAATCTGGACAGAGGAGAAAGGGTGTTATGCAAGGGATGGGTCCTAATTAGCTGTTGGAAAAAACAATCCAGGGTTTCTGAAGTGAGAGATTGACTCTATGAAGGCAATGAGAAGTCAAATGTACAAAGACGGTCTCATTAGAAGACTGACCTAAACCACAGGAGTGGTCCAGAATGTTTTAGGCAGAGTCAGGAAGAGGCAGATACACATTTGCTCTTTTACCTAGACCTGTATATACTCTATGACTACTAATGCAAAGAACTGTTGTTTTTAAGAACCTATTACAGAGTCTGAGCATGTACTTCAAATACTGTAGACCTAGAAAAAGTTTGTTTTACACTCCAAGGATCCAGAGATTGGAGTTTCATTTAAAGATATGCTTTAACTATTGAAAAGCCTATAAAGTAAATACAGGTCATGAGGGACAGTTTAGTAACACTAATGTCTTACATGGTGCAGCCCAACTGTAGCAGCCTAGTGAGCATATACCAAGCCTGCAAAGTGTTCTCAATTTAGCGTAGGAAGCAAGAGACTTATTTTCTATGGAAGTCCCCACTAAGTCAGAAGTTCTAGCTTTTTTCTGGGCTTCTCAAATGTTCAGAGTTGATACATTAACCATAGTTTAATATGTCAGAAGAGCTTACAGTGACCAGACTTATACATCATTTGTTGTTTGTCCAACTGTAAGGTATATTAGAAATAAGGAATATGTAAGCAGTATCAAAAGAAATAAAGAATACATACATTTAAGAAATGTGATAAAAGTTCAAAATTCAGCTACACAAGAACCTATTAGACTGTTAAGAGAATTTACAACTACTAAAGCAGTTAAAGGCAATTTCAAGGTAAAAGTCATCAAGTAACCCGTGCAAATTCATCTTATGAAACTAGACATTTACTCTTGTGCTTTAATTTCCTCCTTAAAGATAAGGAAGACCCAAACTACTTTAGAGGTCCAGTTACTAAAGAACTGTAGTGGAAAGACATTTCACCTTTTGGGGTGCCAGAAGAGATGAAGCAATGAAAGACTAGAGCCAGATACTTCCCCTCTTCCTCTTACAGGAATTGAAATCACAAATGAAACCTTGAAGTATCTAAATGGCATTTTTCCTCCAAATACAAAACAGTTGCGGAAGTGGGCCCTAGCAATATGAAGACGTGAATCAGAAATTGTTTCTCCTTAAAAAAAAATTAAAAAATGTTTTAAAACCATTATTGTAAAGCACCATGAGACAAAAGAAATGTGTTACTTCCTATGGAACACTTCAGTTCTCCTGACTAGAATCACGCTGAGCCCAACAGTCTATTTCCCAGATCCAAATTCTTTCAGTTTTCATTGTTCCACCTTGTAGAAATGCCAGATCTTTTTTTCTTTTTGTCAAACACAAGATACCATAATTAAATTTTACTAAATTTAGCCTGAACTTGCACGGTAATTAGTCCAGTGGGAACATACACAGTCACACGAGTCTTTATTTTAATTGTATTATCTGGACTTGTAAAGATCACAGAAAAGATTCCAACCTTTAGGGTCTTTAACAATACCATCATGATAGAGAAAGCCCACAGCAGGAGGTAAAGGAGTCAGAAGCAAAATTTCCAGTGAAACTTGATTTCATTACCTACCGTTTGTTGGCCACCTTGGAAACTCAGGTCTGACATCCTTTGCTCACATTCACATCAGGCTAGACCTTGACAGGCTCCAGGCCCCTCCGAAATTTGGTTTACTGATTGTTGTTAGGTACAGAATTTGTAACGTTTCCCACTCCCTTGTTTTAAATAGAGGTTATACATTTTCAGCACTTATCTTTGCAAAAATGATCTTACAATTTAAAGCACACACGCACCCGTGCAACTAGCTTTGCACTGGAAACTTGAGCAAAGGAGTAGAACCTTCAACAAACACAAGGAAGACAACAGTATACATTTGGCTATTCTTAAAGACGTCAGTGCCAGACTAAGGCATCACTTCTTATGGGGCACCAGTTTTTGAGTGAGGACCTTGATAGCACAGCTGGTTATGACCTGATCTTCAGAGGTGTACAGTGACTTCAGAGCTTTCAATGGCTTCCCTTTCTAAGGGAGGAATGGCATCTGGTGGCATTTTCTTGAAAAATCACATCATTAAGACTGGGCATAAAATAGATTCAGGAAAAACATCTACACTTAAGCCAGCCTGTACATCTGTAAAAGATGGTTGGGACACAGATCCCTAAATTACCTGTTAAATTGTCCACAGAATAAAGTGAGCAGGTCATGCAAAAGACACTTCAAGAGACAAAAATTAGTGTCAAGCAGAAAAAAGCGAGCAAAGTATACATTAAAAGCAAGTCCCACCAGCAGACCCAGAAAGTAACCTGCACAACAGTAAGACTGGAGGCATCTTGGTGAAGGAAAACCAAAGGCGATTATTTTTGTTTTTAAAGCAAGCACCTACTGTATGCCCTCTTACCTACCTCCACAAAACAGAAAAAATACATAAGCAAAGGTAATGAAAACATACTTACACATGTAAGGATGGAACAGACAAAAAATATATATTATGAAAAATGCTGTTAGCTGGTCCTGGCAAGTCTCATATCATTTTTCACAGGCAAAAATTATTATCCTACCTTACAAAGTGCAGGACCAAAAGCTATGAATTGTTTGCACCCCTTTAGGGAAAATATTTGACCTCTGTTTCACCCAATAATCAGAGTTGCTAGATCCAGTTCCTTTCTCAATGGTCCCATTTGTGTACACACCAGTGTTGTAACCACTGCCTCCAATTTGCTCAAATTTGTATTAGAAAGTGATCAAAATGAGACCTGGAGGCTTCTGACTCCTTTTGGAGTAAATTATTATTTATTGTCTACACCACCATCTTCATGCCTATTGTCTTCTACTATGAAACCCAAGTTTTGGGACATAAATATTTTGACAGTGGGATGATACATATCCTATGAGAGTTACCCCATCAGGTCCCGTAAAAGCTGAACATCTGTCCTGGGTTTACAGAATAAAGCCACTGATAGACTTGATGTGTATTCAGCTATCTGAGCTTCTGCAGCATGTGCACAGCTCAGGAGGTCCTCGGCCTTTCAGAGCCCAAAGGAATAACGTGATGTACTATCATTAATGGGAAACTCTGATTGCCACATTCACTGACTACACCCTGTTGAGAAGAAAGCCTCTGTCCTCCTCCTTCAAGGCCCTGACCCTTCATCAACTGATTAGAAGTCAATGTTTTGACAGCAAACATGAACATCCCTACTAACCTCCTCGCTTTGCTGGACCAGGAAGTTACTAATGCCAAAATGCGCTTGTCAGGGCAAGGGGAACCAGTATGTAAATGATTGCCACAAAACCCTAACTGCTACACGGTCAGTACTTGATTCAGCCTGACATGTATTTCAATTAACATTTAAAATACTGAGCTGAAAGAATCACACACATCTTATTTAAGTATTCTTCCCACCCCTGCCAAAGAAAACTTGAGAGACCAGGATGAGAAGCTTGAATTTCAAAATATTGTTCTATTTTGGGGTTTTTTGTTATTTTTATTTCCCTCTATTTCCCTCTTGGAGAATGCAGGAGTAATATAGCTGAGGTAAGTGGATGCCTGTAAGCTCTATTTCCAGGTGGTGATAGCTACCCTTGAAATAGTGTTATCCCCCTCCTCATCAATAAAAAAGTTTTCTAAGTGGGATACAAAACATTAATTGACCAATTACATAACTACCATACCTAACTTCCTGCAATGACACTAATAAATTGAACTATTCATATTTCATGACAGTCCTAATCTGTTTTGTGACAATCGTAGGAACATGTAACAGACCTCCAGGGTATGAGAAGGACTAGGGAACTAACCTACCCTGAGAGCCCTGTCTGGGATCACGAACAAATCACCTGACAGTGACCTTTCACAAGGCCATGAGTTAAGGTGCTCAAGTGAAAGCAGCTGTGGTTGCTGTTTCCAGCCCCCATGGTCTCACATCACAGCAGGACTGACAGAAGCAATCAAGTACCAAATTTTGTAATCCAGAACTTCAGTTAAAAACACAAGTGAAGGTGGATTTTTGCTAATACATCCACTTTGTCCTTTCTGACTAAAATTAAGTGGCAATAACAATGCTGAAGCAACACTTTAGATGCAACATGCCTCCCTAAATATTTAGCTCTCATCAATAAAGACAACTGGTTTTACAACACCAGGAGCTAACAGAAGTTTGTCATTAAGATTTATTTCCTGCTTTTCAATGCAAATGAAAAATTCCTCATTGGGAAGAAGGAGCAGAGCAACTTTTGTATTAGAAATATTCTCAGCATGCCACTTCACACCCACCTCTTCTGAGTTTTGCCAGTTCTCAGCCTTTTGCTCAGCAAGCACCACCTCTTTAGAACCTGTGTGCTCTTTCTACTTACTATGCCATGAGGTCAGTGTGTTGATTTTGACTTATTGAGAAACCCTGGGTACCCAAACGGAATACTTAGAACAAGCTTTATTGCAGACAGTAGATTAAGTTTATTTTACACAGAACCTCCAGCTAGTCTCTATACACACATCTTTTTTTGAGGAAGTGAAAAATGCATAGGTTTAATACCTGAATATTTACTGCCTTCTTTACAGTCTAAATCATTTCTCACTAATGTGCCAGTAAGAATTTTGGTAAAAATGATGGAACACCTACAAATGCTACTTGAAAGTCTCTCACATATCAAAATTAACATATGTAACAGACCCAAAGGTAACTTTTTTTTTTAAAGCTCCTCAACATTGAAAGGTCAGTTCAAAGTTTACTGAAAGACCTTTAGAGATTGATATCAGATATCAATCATTTCACAGCATAATTAAAACTCAAGAAACTGCAATTAACACAGCTCTTAAATTCTGCTAGGTGAGCCACTCCCTCAGTTAAACTTACTGAGAGAAGCATTTTGAGGTAACTACATGTAAACTGACAGCTATGCCTCTGAGGAGGTAAGAAAAATAAATTCAGAATCTCTCATAAATTCAGCTCTTCCCTACAAGTTTGAATCATTCTGAACATAAAAACCAGGCTAAACGATGACTATTCATAGGTCACAAAAACACTGAATTCAGCAATGACAAAATGACCTGCTGTCATTAAGCATTTTCATTATCTGTGCACTTTGTTATTAACAGCCCCTCCTGACAAGAAATCACTTATGGTCAAGTTAAGTTCCAGTCAGAAAATGGGGCAGAGAATGCATACTCTTATTTGTTTAGATTTAAATGATTTGAGGAACAACAATTGCTTCATTAAGATAAATGTAATTAATTCCATCATAAAGTCATTATGTTTCCTAGCTGCTGTCAATGAATCTAATTCTACATTTTCATTTCCATTTGTCAACTATGGCACTTACAGCTTCAAAATTTTCTTGGATAAACAATTATCTAGCTGACAGAGCATAAAGGAGTAGCACATTGCCAGTCTTACTTACTCACTTAAGCGTCTTGTCTATAACAGGGGTGAAAAACCTCTAGGTTTTTACTGCCTTCCTCTACTAATCATCGTATTGCTTGGGGGTGGTTTTGCTGTTTTTAAGAGTTGATAAAGCCATCTTAATGACTGTGGACTGTAGAGCAAAAAGTGACAAGCAAAAGATAATCTGGGAAACTTCTTAAATATCTAAAATATCTAGAGCTAGAATGATAGTTTACACTTAGAAAGTAATGAACACCTTTCAGGATTCCAAGCAGGTCAACAAGCAGTAATTCCTCTAGTAAGTGTTGCATTCCCATTCTGATGTCGTAGTCTTGTGTTGTGTTAAAACAAAGAAAAAGTTATGGTTGCATCATAATTCACAATGCCATTAAATCACTGAAACATGATTCTCTGAAGGTGAGCTACCTAACAGCTTGAAAGCCATCTCTGCATGACACAAATAATTAGCTAGAGACCAGTGATACCCATCTTTAAGAAAGATTATGAAACTCTGAATATACAAACAAAGAAGAACTAATTTTGAGATAACTTCTTACCCAATTGATTCTTCATCATTAGAGCTGTGCCTGTCACAGTCCTTTTGCCTTTTTCCTTTTGTGGAAGGCTCTCTGTTGCTGGCACTTAATTTCCACTGAAATAAAACAAATGAAATTGGCAGGTTCCAACAGACATAAATATGTCATAATGGATACTACACTAGGAAAAAGGAACAATGCAACTGATCAAATAAAGCAGAGCCACAAAGTGTATATATAACAACTTTGCAAAGAATGAATTTGCTTGCCTTAAAGCACCCATGTACCACCTGATCTTGAATGGAACCTTTTTTCTCCTAAAGAAATTTGACAGTACAGGACAATTCAATTATTCCCCTATTTAAAGGAGGACTATCCCAAACAGGGACTTAAATATTAGACCTGTTTTACATAATTACAAATACAGAAGATAACCTCTACTTTCTTTAACTCCATGCATTTAACCCAATTACGTTCCACTCAAAGATATAAAATTCTGAGACGGAAAAGGAATTTGAAGGTTTGGTACTCGGGTGGCAAAACCCACAACAGCAAGACTTTACTTTTTCCAAATTCTCTTACCTTACCAGAATGCACTTGTATTATCAAATTAAGTAAGCAAAGCCCCACCAAAACATATCATTATTTCTGCAATTCCAGAAACCTATCTCCCTCTGCCATTACCTCCTCCTAATCTGTCCTCACTTTTTTTAATATACAAGATAATAAACCAAACATATGTTTAAAAATGATGCCAGTCAGGCTGAAAGCAGACAAACTTATCTTCATTTCTGTTTAAGTGTGGGGTGAAAGGGGATCTGAAAAATTCATGCCCACGCATATTTTACATACTTTAGTGAAGTCTGAAAGGTGCATCCCAAACCAATCTTTTCCCTACCATAGGGGCCGACTCTGTAATGGAAAATACCCTCATTATTAAAACAGCTGGCAGCAAGAAATTGCCTTGAAGGTGCTCTCCCCTCCTCCTGCCTTCAAACATCATCTAGTTCACCTCATTGCACTGGTCTTCAAGCATGTTAGAGACCTATATGCCCAAATCACTGAAAGCTGCACAAAATTTCTCAAACATGGAACAAACTCTGGCAACACTAAATACAACCTGGACAGACCTTTGTAGGGATAAAACAGTAACACTTCTTTTAATTATGATACCTCATGAGCAATCTTTTCTTTTAAAGTAGAATATAAAGACTAGTCAGTGTTTAAAGCATACGGAGCCCTCTACCATGTGGAAAAGCCTGAAATATATTGACACAGGTAAGAAAAACAAGAAATGGAAAATTAGACAATATACAGGAAATGAGAAAAAAAAGATTTTTCAATTCATGCAGTCTAATCACTGTTTTTAGAGACAGAGAGAAAGACGAGAAGAATTCCGTACAAGTGCTGTCTGGCTCTGCCTAAGAGGCTGCTGCTTGTAACCACAGGAGACATTACTTCTGACTTCAAAACCTGATTGTAATTGGATGCTCTGCTCTCTTAAAGTATTAACAGTATAAAACACAACCACACAGTGAGTTTGTATTGCAGCACGCTCAAATGACCAGGCCTACCAAGAGACCTGGGTCACATTATCACCACTACTGTAAGTCAAAAAAATTCCTAATTTCCCTCACTAGGTTTTTAAAACTCCTCTGTGGGGGAGCCTGTTTGTCCAGCCCCATAATTCTGAAAGCACTAAAACCAGCAACAAACTCTCAATGCTGCGCTGAAGGAGTCAAGAAATGCAAAATATGTTTCCAAAACTTGCCATTTTAAAAATGCCTACTGAATTTGGAAAAGATTTGTAGTAGCAAATATTTGCTTCTATATGGGACTGAGATGATCAAGACAGTCATTTATTATAAATGACATACAAGTACTCTTATAGTCTTTTGGTCTTAATACTGAAATCAGTTATTTCTGTATTAGCACCTGAAATTCTGTCAAAAGTCATAAAATACTTAATATATTCTTTTAAAGTTTAAGCTTTTGGATACAAATAATGACTAATTGAAAACTCAGTGTAAAAATTATTTCCATATCATAACAAAAAGTTTAGTAAATGACCTGAATATAACCTAAAAGTTCAGGAATCAGAAGACAATTAACTTAAAAAAAAAAAAATTATATTTGCCTTTAAATTAATGATTTTCAAGATAATTTCAAACTACACTTGAAGACCAGCTCTGCTTTTTAATGATTTAGGCTGGCAATTCAGCACTGAGACTTCCGTTTCTGTAACTGTATGCTTGCAGGCAGATTTCAGACATACACACTTGTCTCTTTCCAAGACACGCTGGGTCAGTTATTGGTCACGAGGCAGCACCCAGTATCGAAAAAATCCAGTCTCCAAAACAGAACAAAAACCCACATAACATTCTCCTATACATTTACACTCCGAAGAACTTCTCTTTACCTCTTTTAAAGGGTAGTCCCAATGGTGGGAGCCTGGGAGCCTTGCCAAAGGGGACTGAACTTGGACATCCTCTGACTTGGTGTTTGTTTTCTTCTTTGGTATACGAAACTGAAAATAGATGATGTTACACACATAATAAAACTAAATTATCCACTGATGCTATGAGCTGACATACCGCCACGTACGTTTTCTTAACTGTCAGGCAAAATAACAAAGTTGCAAGGGAGCCACTGACCTGTGACTTTAATTTAAATGCATTCCTCACTGATGCTTGATCCTAAATCATACCTCATACCACATGAGGAGCTAGTTTTAACATATGAACTGTCTTAAAAAGCAAGAAAAAGCTCCTCCTGATTTCATTAAATTTACAACAACTTCAAACGTGTGCCCAAAAGGTGAGAACCAATCTACTGGCACTTACAGTTTTCTTAGTTCCCTCTGATTTGTTTACACTCCAGTTTAATCATCTCAGCTTAGAGAATGATAAAGAGAAAACAAAATAGCTGAATGTCATGATGAATGCCACACCAGGTTTGCACTCTCAAAAAAAAATTCAGGATGAAGAGCAATTATCTCTTAGAATAGTACAAGTATTTTGGTATAACTCAGCAGTAATACACTACAATGTACTCAAAATGGTATCAGCTATTGTCATCACTAACCTTCGCGAAAATGGAACCAGCGTTTCGAAAGTAATTATTGAAAGATAAAACAGTAATATGCAGAAATTTGCCAATTCAGAAAAAATATGTAGGAAATAATGCTCATTCATTGAAATTCAAAACAAAAATGGTCAAACTAAATTCCTACCAGTTCCTCAAGACAAGGAAAGAGGGTGACATTTCCTATCAGTTAATTAAACCAGTTAAAATAATATCAACTGAAAGAATAGAAGTGCAAGCCTTGCCATTTCTCCAGATATCCTGAGAAGCAAAGCCTTACACTGCAAATACAACCAGAATAGACTGCATCAGAGAGGCAATCAAGCATTCTCATCTTTCAGACAACTGAGTCTATCTCAGCCAGGAAAACTGAAGCTACTCCATACGATGGCCACCGTCAAGTGTATTATGAACTTAATTTGCAAGCTGCCAGATGCCCTACCTTGTAACATGAAATTACAAGCAAGGACTCTAGAACAGCAACGCTAACAACTTAATAATTAACACAGAAACTGCATTCATTAGCTCTGTAGGTAGTCCTTCAGACAGACCATAACTGAAGCATACTGTACCACAATGAGGTAATCCTTCAATTCTTCAGTTTGAATTGTGAGTGCTCTTATTCCTTCTCTACACTTCTTTGAAACCAAGATTTATTTTTTTAGTAATTAGGCCTGAATTTCTATACAAACTGCTTTTGTTGGTCAACACTGTAATAACAAATATGCCTTAATAACAAATTCCTCAAATTATAAAGGATGTAAACGTTGCACACAGGCAACAACTCCTAATACAAGTACCTCCCTTCCCTTTCAATCAATATTTAAGGCCTGAATTAGACATTTTCTTATCCAAGTATGTCTGCAATTAGATTGTTTGATTTTTTTTTTTTTTTGAGAAGTGGCCTATAAACATGTTTTATCATTCAGAATGCATTCTTCTAATCCGCACCTTAATGGCCACATACAAATTTCTTACTTCAGAACTCCACCTGCTGCCTGACTAGTGGTCTCTGTTAGGAGCTTCCTAAGAACACATATTTATCTAAAATTTTAACGTGCATTTAAAGTTACAGAGGTTCAGATAACCTCTGTAATAACATAAGAGATAACACTGAGAACAGGTAAGATCAGACTCAGAAAACAGAAAGAGACAGATGGACAGACAGGAAGGGGTAAAAAGCACACGACACATTCACCAGCAAAATTCCCACCTCACCATACAATATCTTCCCAATGTTTGCACTCATTAAGAAGATGTTGGTTTGCAGTGCCCACAATTAACTCATGGAGCAAGTACAAAGTCAAGAGGTAACCAAAAGAGGTCTGTATCTATGGTAAGTGCAACACATACAGTTGCCTCAGCTTTTCCCTAACAGAAAGTGACTAACTCAACACATACGTGTGCATACGCACTTAGCAGACTCCTCATCTAAACCAGCAGTACTTTTCTGAAGGTTCCCACCTGTAGGAGCAAGGGTCAGAGAAAGCGCATAAATAAGGTGCTGGAAACAGCTTATTTCTAAAACACTAGACAGTCCAGACCTTACCCCCTCAAACCAGTTGCTGTGACTACAATTTGTTTTCACCAGTGCTTCCATTGCTAGAAACTACTACTAACAAGGATATTTTAGAAAAAATAAACACTAGCATAAGTAGTCTCTGAACACATCTCTGCAGATAACTAAATACTACGCAGTTATGGAGCTGCTCTACTTACTTCAGCATTGCTCTTAATATTTCAGATGTTAGCTTAGGTCTTAAAATATCCTTGAAAATGCACTGTTTACGTGCAATCAAATGTTAAGTCTATCACATATTAATACATGTTCAACAGCACTATTGACTGCTACCGGAATAAACTGTTTCTCAGGAAAGAGCGCTCCAACAAACTGAAAGCTGAACCAGTGGAGAATGAATTTTGTTGTGCAAATACATCAGGACACTCTAGGATACCCACAACCTCAAAGTAAATTGTTGCAAATTGTAGGAACACTTACATGACTTGGAGATGATGTTCCTCCTTCCATGATTTTCTCTACTGAAAAAAAGATACAAAATAAGCTCAGCAATTTGTGTTGTATTTATTCAGAGGGAAGCACGACCACAGTAGTAGCTATTAAGCAAGAACAAGAAAACCATTTTTGAGCAAGCTAGCACAAAGAAAACTCATTCATAGAACGGTCTGGGTTGGAAGGAACCCTTAAAAGATCATCTAGTCCAATCCCCCAGCCTTGGGCAGGTACATCTTTCACTAGGCTCAGAGCCCTGTCCAACCTGACCTTGAATACTTTCAATAATGGGGCACCCACAACTTCCCCGGGCAATTTGTTCCAGTGTCTCACCACCCTCATGGTAAAAAGTTTCTTCCTTATATCCAACCTAAATCTACTCTCTTTCAGTTTAAAACCATTGCCCCTTGTCCTGTCACTATAAGCCTTGGTACAAAGTAATTGACAGCCACAATGCTAGAGACACATGTGATTGGGCAAGGCCCTGGATTGTCAGCACGGACAGAACTGTTAACGAGATTTTCACTAGAATTTATGCTTAGTGAAGGCATTCACTGCTTAACTCCACCCCCCTCACAGGCACGCAACTAATTAGCAATTCAGGCTTTGATTATAAAGCAAAAAGGAGTCACAGAAGACATCTGTAACGCTACACGAGCTCCAAGAATAAATAAAATCCAAGGATTCCTACTGAATTTTATCTGTTAATAAAATTCTTCCTCAGTGGAAGAACACAGCTTCAGAGCTCCAACGTTAAAAGGGGTTTATTCTCTTTATAAATTCTCTGTATGACTCCGGTGTAAGACCTTCAAACCTTACAGCTAGTTCAAAGGCCTTTAAGTTCGTGTACTTTCATTTAGCTCGGTGGTTTTTCAACTTACAGCCCCAGTCCCCTGGTGTGGGGAACATCAACACCTATAGACTATTAAAGAAAAGCCAAACTACTGCCTATACCGACGCCTACAAAAAGGAAAAGCTGACAAACGCCGGCCTTCTGACAGCTCTGGGGGGACACGGAGGCACCACCCAGGGGTGGCACCACCCAGGCTGTCACCGCATGAGCCCGCCCTCGCCGCGCCGATGGCCGCCACCGAGCAAGGCGGCGGGGCAAAGCGAGGTC